TTTCATAAAGAAATGTAAGAAGCGAAAATAAACTCACAATAGAAGAAAGAAATTTATAACCAAAGACACATTACAGTGGAAAATGGTTTCCTTTCGGGCAGCGTAAAACACTACTGGATAAAACTATCGCTCCGATCAAATCTTTCTGTTCTCAGGACAGAAATATTGCAAGCCTGGCTGAGCATAACTGAAAACGCCATGATAAAATCATTCAAAATTGTCTGACTCGTGTATGCATTGGATGAACAGGGATGCTGGCATGATATTCGAGGAAGACGAACAATATTTCTCCGAAGATGACGAAGGCATCTAATACGCTGACAACATATATGAAACTGTCTGAACTTCTTTCTATGAGAAGGCCAGCTGTGACCGAAAACTAAAATGTGATTAATATCTACGTGGATACATTATAAAATGCAGTGTTTGGTCACTGATTAAAACTCTTTGTTATGCATTTGTTAATTTGGGTCATAGATAAGAATTTATTTGAGTAAGCAGATATGAAGTGGAACATAGATATTTAATCAATTGGTTGGTTCACTAGCAAAGTTGCTTCACTCTACCGTGCTAGACAACTTTTACCGACAGAATCCATCTTGGATATTTATAAACCTACCATTCCTCCGTGCCATGAATATTATTGTAACATTTAGTCTGGTGCTCCTGCTGTATATTGTAGGAATAGTATTATCATAAATAAATAAAAATAAAATATAAAATAATAATAATAATAATAATAATAATGAAAATAATAAATAAAATAAAATAAAATAATAACATGGATAAAATAAGTTAAACAAAAATTTAAAAGAATAAAAACTCTCCCAACATGCAGCAAAAACTGTTCCTATCGGAGATACGGGCATTCTGCTAAAATATGTTGAATTCTATCTCTTCAACACGAACCTTAGTACGGACAACCCGCGTCCGACTTCACTGTGTGATATGGCTTGTAATACTACGGAGCATATTTCTCCTTTTTATCACATATATCTTAAACCAATTTTAACCTAAAATACACACACCAGTACATACAAAAATATAAATAAATTTAATGTAGGTAACATACAAATTAACATGCTTTTTCTGTTAATTCTATACGTTTTATTTACTGTTATATATGCTTTTATCACTGTGAAAACGAAGCTAATCTCTGCTGCTATGATGTGAGTTAAACTCCCACAATATATCGACATTTTTGACAAAATTGAAAGAAGTGTCTCTAATATAATGGATCATGACCCAACATTTCGACCTCCGCCACTTTCACACAAACGTGAAGTGGCTTCCCTCTGTCTTTTCTACAGAAATTTTATATGGCTTTTGTTCTGATGAGCTTTTTGTCTAGTGCCTCATCGACATGAATTTAAGTGTGCCACTAGACTGTCAACTAGATTTCACCGTTTTATTGTTGAACTCGCTAGATGCAACGGCCAATTCTAACAGTTACTTTCTTCGCAATTCTCATCAGTTGAAACTCTCTTCCGATTCTTCAAACGTTTAAATGCAACGTCAATCGCCATCTTTTGTCTTCTTGAATTCTGGTCTTCTCTTGCCTTTTCCTCAGTTCTCCACAATAAAGACTTGCCATTCTCTTTCTCTCCCTAAAAACCCTTGCGTCCTAGTAGCATTATCGCCTTCCTTGAGATGAAAGGATTAAAATAATTAATCCCTTACTGTTAATAGACGGTTCTAATGAAAAATGCTGTTGAAATGTGATGCAATATCTGTCCTCCAATATGATAATGAATACTGAACGAATGAAGAAAAGACTTGACGCAAGATCCTAACAGATAATGAAAATACTTGAGCCATCGGAAAT